CCTCGTCACTTATCCCTCTAAATTCGTGATTTCTGTGTGTGTTTCGTGGTTCTAAATGTGTGATTTTTCTTCGAATTTTGGTTGTCAGATTGCGATTGTTTCAGAATTCAAAACCGAAAGTTTCCATTTTTTGGGTTCAAAGTTTCGAGAGTGAATAAGTAAAGAAGAAAAAGTTTTCATTTTTATTTTTGTTTCTGTAAGAAATTTGGGAAATTTAGGGATTTTTTCCATTTTAAGTTAGTGATTTAACTGATTTGAGTTCTTATAGTAATTTTTCTCTTTCACAGATGGAGTTGAGCTGATTAGAGAATCTAAACTATGTGGAAACAGATTCTTAGTAAGCTTCCTAATAAGAAGTCTTCGTCTTCAAAGAACCATTCTTCATCTAATGCCACTGCATCTACTTCCAATAGTACTACTGATAATGGCGCCGCGAATTCGTTTCCTGTAAACTCTCCTGTTCCTGATTCAGGGGTTAAAGATGGTAACTTAAAGGGGAACGGGAACGGTTCCACGCCGTTTGAAGCATTGCCGAGTTTTAAAGATGTTCCGAATCCAGAGAAGCAAAACTTGTTTATGAAAAAGCTCAGCTTGTGCTGTGTAGTGTTTGATTTCGCTGATCCGACAAAGAACTTGAAGGAAAAAGAGGTAAAGCGGCAGACATTGCTTGAGCTGGTTGATTATGTGGCTTCTGCGAATGGGAAATTCAGCGAAACGGTTATCCAAGAAGTAGTTAGAATGGTTTCTGTTAACATATTCAGAACGTTGAATCCTCAGCCGCGAGAGAATAAAGTTATTGACGCATTAGACTTGGAGGAAGAAGAGCCTTCCATGGATCCTGCTTGGCCTCACTTGCAACTTGTCTATGAGCTTCTCTTGAGACTTATTGCTTCGCCTGAGACCGATACCAAGCTGGCTAAGAAATACATCGACCAGTCTTTTGTCTCACGGTTACTGGATTTGTTTGATTCCGAGGATCCGAGAGAAAGAGATTGTTTGAAAACCGTTCTACATCGCATCTACGGTAAATTCATGGTTAATCGTCCTTTCATAAGGAAATCTATCAACAACATTTTCTACCGGTTTGTTTTCGAGACTGAAAAACACAACGGGATTGCTGAGTTTCTAGAGATTTTGGGAAGTATCATCAATGGATTTGCTCTGCCGCTTAAAGAAGAGCACAAAGTGTTTCTTGTTCGAGCTTTGTTACCTCTCCACAAACCCAAATGCTTGCAAATGTATCATCAACAGTTGTCTTATTGTATCACACAGTTTGTGGAAAAAGATTGCAAACTCGCTGATACGGTTATAAGAGGACTGTTAAAGTCTTGGCCCGTCACAAATAGTTCCAAGGAAATCATGTTTCTAAACGAGCTAGAGGAAGTATTAGAAGCAACTCAGCCACCTGAATTCCAACGGTGTATGGTCCCATTGTTTCGCCGAGTTGCTCGGTGTTTGGCCAGTCTCCATTTTCAGGTAATTGTTCCATAGCATTTTCATATATTATCCGAATGATGAATGATGAATGATGGGACTAAGTAGTGTGAACTCTGATAGATCAAAATATTTGTGATTATTTCTGTTAGGCACAAATCAATTAGTACCCTTGTGCACATTGTACAACTTGTGATTAAAGCTGGAATCTTTATAGAACCACAAGAAAGAACTAAAAGGTTGAGTCATTTTTTTTATATTGAAATTGTTTGCAGGTTGCAGAGAGAGCTTTCTTCTTATGGAACAACGATCATATCGAGAATCTAATAATGCAGAACCGTAAAGTTATCCTTCCCATAATTTTCCCTGCATTGGAGAGAAACGCGCAGAAGCATTGGAACCAAGCTGTTCATGGCTTGACGCTGAAAGTGCAGAAGATATTTAGTGACAGTGATGCAGAGTTGTTCAAAGAATGTCTTGCTAAGTTTAGGGAAAACGAATCAAAAGAAGCTGAAATCGAAGCAAAACGCGAGGCGACATGGAAACGGTTGGAAGAAATTGGGATGCAAAAGCAAAAGTAAAAGATTTCATCATAAGGTTTTAGTTGTAGAGAGAGATTTTGTTTTGTATTGTCGTTTTTTTCACTACATTGGAAAATTGGGGTTTCTTTTTGGTATTCTCTTCAGAAAACTTAGTGAGAAAAAAGTTTCAGATGTGTTTATGATCCTTCTTGTTTGTTGGAAGCTTGTTAATGGGTTCTTGATCGCAACATTGTCCAATCTTGTTATTCTTGAGACTTGTCTCTGGTTCATATGCATATACAAACTCACTATAGATAGCAAAATTTTGTAACAAGAGAGTCTGATTCAAACACAAATAGGATTTCAAAATTAAATATGATCTTAAAAGCTTAGTCTTAGATTTGATGTTCAAAGTAGGAACACAATTATAATGGAACTATGGAAGTAAAACACTCTTCTCATCGGTGAGACTAACCAAGAAACCCTCTGCTTCCAAACACACCAAAGAGAGTGAGAAAGTTTTTAGATATGAGATATTAAACTCTGGTAATAAGGACCAACTATTGCATGAGAAGGATGTTCGTAAAATGAAGAGTAAGAATTTGTTTGCGGATCATACTTGACCAGACCATCGACATAACGATGTGAGAGTAGGATCTCCTTGTTCTTGCATTTCGCCTCACACATTCATCAAATTACCAAAACCAGTTTCTAGACAGACACCATGGAGAACAAGAAAGAAGATATATAGTATAAACTTTCACCCATGTGTCTAATTCTGATGATGATTGCAAGCTCCAAATCTCTTGGATCATTGTACCGCGCTTTCTTTCCGACATGCACAAACGATTATCCAAGATACACATGTCGATTTGGTCAGGATGTGAACGAGAAACCGGATTCTTAGGCAGCAATCGAAAAGTTTCAGTATGAAGATCGAAGACTATTACTTTGGTTTCGCCATTATATTGCTCGGTGAGCCAATAAACAGATCCGTTTACGGTTGCTGGCGCTTGATCGTCATATAACATTGGAGTGTAAGTCAAGTATCTCCAAGCGTTTGCCCTAAAGTCGAAAACCTCGCACTTGGTAAGTCCTTCGTTTGTAGAATTATATTTATCAGAATTATATAACCACACTAATTTATAATCAAACGATGCAACCTTTGCGAATGCTAGCCGAGGGATTGGCTTAATGTCTGAGAGAGTTTCCCGAGTGTATGTTGCCTTTTGCAGCTTCCAGAAAGTTGGACTAGTTTTTTCTTGAGGAATGTGGAGAAGAAGATTGAGGACTCGAAGAGAAGCCGAGTCCAAGCACAATGTCATAAACTCAAAATGTTCATGTTCCTTGTAGGCGAATAGGATTTGAGGAATCGAAGAGAACCTAAAGTGTCTCTCTTTAAAACATTGAGACTCAATGGTAGATCTCCATTGTTTTGACACGGACTTGAATCGTACAAATCGATTCGACAGGAATTAAGTCGTAAGAGAATTTCCTCAACGATGTCGTAAGGTACTTCTTGATATCCTCTCTTCTTTTCCTCTTTATTTGTGATGATGCAATCACTTGCTTCTCTTTCTCCATAGCTAGT